AGTCACACTGGGAGGCTCAGCACTGTGCCGATGATGCCCAGTGCTCCAGTGGGACGCCCCTTTGCAAGTCATGACAAGCCCTCAATCGTTACTGGCCAATTATACCTCATTTCCGACCCTGACTCCAGCTGCAGCTCCTCGTCTCATTGACCAGGAGTTCCAAATGACTTATGACCACTGCCAAAAAGGAAATCATTCTCCAAAGACAGCATTGTACAATTTAGATACAAAAGCCCAGGTTGTCTGCTTCCCAGGCAATTTTCAAATCGAATTACAGAAATGTTTAAAGTAGCTGAAGCACTGTTGCAATAAATATACCCTCCCAGGTTGATATCTTGGAAGAAGACAACTCGGAGTTTCGCTGTATAATTTCTGCTGTGTTTAAGAAAAAGTACTCACTTTGAAAGGCATTGTGAGAAGACCACTGGACTTTGTAAAGATACCAGTGGGATAATACTTAATGCAGGTCGGGGCACTGGGACGTGGGCCCACTCATGTATTGGTGAGACTGTAAATGGCATCACTTTCTCAGAGCAATTTGGCATGAAGCATCGAGAACCTTTAAAGAGTTGAAACCAGCTGACCTAGAAATTCCCTTTCTAGGAATCTTTCTTAGGGAAATAAGTCAAAGATGCAGACAAAGGTTTATGTATATAGCTATTCATTTTATTTGCAAAATAGTAAAAAGAAACAACTAACCCAAATGTCCCACAACAGGGAAATTGTCAGGTAAATTGTGGTATATTCATTAAATGAAATAATGCAGTCATTTATTTATTTATTTTTTAAGATTTTATTTATTTGACACAGAGAGAGCATGCACAAGCAGGCAGAGCAGCAGGCAGAAGGAGAAGCAGACTCCTGGCCGAGCAGGGAGCCCAATGCGGGGCTCGATCCCAGGACTCTGGGATCATGACCTGAGCCGAAGGCAGACGCCCAACGACTGAGCCACTCAGGCGCCCCTAATGCAGTCATTTAAAATGATGATTTTGAAGAATCATCAATGATGTTTAAAGATGTTCACAATAGAATAGATGATAAGACTAAAACTACATGCATTATATAGACCCATTTTTACTTTCTATATGCTAAAAAAGGGCTCAAGATAGACTCAAGTTATACTCAAAATGTATCAGGGCTGGAGCACCTGTGTGGCTCAGTCTGTTGGGTGTCCGACTCTTAATCTCGGCTCAGGTCTTGATCTCAGGATTGTGAGCTCAAGCCCCACATTGGGGTCCACTCTGGGTGTGGAGCCTCCTTTAAAAAAAAAAAGAGGGGTGCCTGGGTGGCTCAGTTGTTAAGCATCTGCCTTCAGCTCAGGTCATGAGCCCAGGACCCTGGGATCAAGCCCTGCATCAGGCTCCCTGCTCAGCGGGAAGCCTGCTTCTCCCTCTCCCACACCCCCTTCTTGTGTTCCCTTTCTCACTGTGTCTCTCTCTGTCAAATAAATAAATAAAAATCTTAAAAAAAAAAAAAATTTAAAGTCACCTAGAATTTCATCACCCAGCTAAAAGCACTGATAACATTTCTTTTTAAAGATTATTTATTTATTTATTTATTTGCGAGAAAGAGAATGAGAGAGGGAGAAGCAGACTCCCTGCCGAGCAGGGAGCCCTGATGCAGAGCTCGATCCCAAGACTCCAGGATCATGACCTGAGCCAAAGGCAGACGCCCAATGGGCTGAACCACCCAGGTGCCCCGATAACATTTTTTTTAAAGTAGGTTCCACACCCAGTGTGGAGCCCAGCATGGGGCTTGAACTCATGACCCAAGATCAGGTTCGGACACCCAACCAACTGGGCCACCCAGATGCCCTTACATTTTCTTCATTATACTTTTATATATACTATTTTTGATCATTGTAACTCTAAGTATTAATTTTATAATCAGAAAAATATGTATAATGAAAATTCCTTTTTAGGAAAGAAAGAAATGGGTTTTACTAGGAGAGAAGAGATCCGCCCCTGAGGAGCTGATGGTTTAATGGAGGAAATGAGACATGTACACAAATAAACTTATTACAAGGTAGTTAGGGATGTAATGGAGGTTTTACAAAGTGTGGAGGGAAGGATTAGCTCTGCCTGGGAAAGTTGAAGGTTGGTGAAAAGAGGTAACATGTGTACAGGGTCTTGAAGGATGAATAGGAGTTCTCTAGGGCTTTGTAAATTGTTAAGCACTGTGTAAGTTAGTTTTTGGCCGTTATTAGTACTGTCAAAGCTTACCTCATATAAAGCTCTCTTTCTTGTCTCTTTCCCATGCTCCCTGAAGCCCAGGATCCCTGGGACAGGAAGCAGCAGCAGTTAAACAGTCACACATCCGTGCTCCAGCAAGTGAACTGAGGTGCATCCAACTAAGGAGCAGATCCAGGACCAGAGGACATGAAATTATCCGGGAGCAGGGCCAGGAAGGTGCTGGTGGGTAAACAGTTCCCCCTTATTTGCCACCCTGTGGAAAGGCTGGCTTTGCTTGGGGCCTCAACCCTGAGTTATGGGACCATCTCCACCCGGGGCATGGTAAAAACCAAGAATGAGCATCACACAGCAGCCCGTGACTTACATGGGTGGGAAATGGTGTGTCAGATGCCCTTTATAGCTTCCAGACAGGGCGGAGTGGAAAGGAGGGATGTGGGTGAGGGGACCAGGAAAGGTGGCAAGAGATGCTTTGTTTGTGAGAAATCCTTAGAAGCTCAAGGTTGGAAAGGATTTGTAAATTATCTCATTTAATCTTGCCGAGCCCTTTCCCGACATTCCCATCCCATTGTCATCCTTATCTGGCTTCAGGGCACAGCTCAGAGGCCACCTCTTCCACTGAGGACCTCCCACCTCAGTTCCTCTGGGCGTAACTCATTGTTCAACTTTAGGAGAGAGAAAGTCTGCGCTGCTGTGCACCACACACTGAGCTTATAGTTCCTTGATTGCAGTATTCCCTCCTGTGTTTCCTTTTGTTTGTTTATTCATGCAACTAACATATATTCAACACCTACACTGTGCCAGGCAATGTTCTAGATGTTGTAACAGAGTGGAGAAAAAGATAGCCAAGATCTCATGTTCTCATGGGCCTGTCATTCTAGTGGGGGAGACATACAATAAACAAAGGAACAAATAAGAAAACATCAGGTCAACAAGGAGGCAGCTTTGGGAATATCTAAGGGAAGAACTTTCCGTACAAAGAAAGCAGCTGATTCCAAGATCCAAGGGGAAAACCTTTGCTTGCTCTAGGAACAAAAAGAGAGAAACTGGCATTGTGTATAAGATGCTTTCTCTTGCTTTATCTGCAAATGAAAATCTTTTTTCTTTGAGGACTTGGCTCAAGCATCACCTGTTTAGGCAAATGTATCCTGCCTTCCCCAGGTTGAAGTGACTATCTCCTTTCCTCTCCATTTTCACTGAGTACACTTCTGTCAGCATACCCGTAACAATTTGCCATTCCTTCCATACCGTAGCGTTGCTACTCCCCCGTGGACCCCAGTCTCATCAAGGGCAGAGCTTCCTATCTAAACTCCTAAACTCCTAATGCCCGGCACGGAGCCTGGCACAGACTCTGTGCTCAGGAAACATTTATTTGTTCCTCGAATAAATGAGCTCTCACACAGTCCTCTATCAGAACCTCTCTGGTAACAATCAGAATTAGCAACCACTTATTGATCAGTGCCAGGCCCTGTGCTGGGGACTTTCAATTCTGCTCTTACAAGCCTCATGACTGCCATGTGTAGTAAGTGGTAATTATCCTATTTTGTAGTTAAAACTCAGAGTATCAAAGTGACTCTTTTTTTTTTTTTTTAAGATTTTATTTGTTTATTTGAGAGAGAGAGCAAGCATAAGCAGGGGGAACTGCAGGCAGAGGGAGAGGGAGAAGCAGGCTCCCTGCAAAGCAGGGAGTCGGCGTAGGGCTCGATCCCAGGACCCCAAGATCACGACCTGAGTCAAAGGCAGACGCTTAACCGACGGAGCCACCCAGGCGCCCCCCAAAGTGACTTCTGAGGTGGTTCAGTAATAAGAATCAGAGCTAGGAGTTAAACCCAAGTCCTCTTGGTGCCAGATCCCAAAGCTTCACCTTCTATGTGATGCGCTCACCATGTGTTAGTTCATCTGTGGACCTGGCCTCTCTTTTCTTCTAGATAACCATCTCCTTGACAGAAGGGTCTATACTTCACTTCCTTCTATATTCCTCCTGACACCAGAACAGTGTTTTGTATTTAGTACCTACTCAGTCCATGGGTCTTAAATCTCCAAGAGGTAGAAAAGAAAGTATGAATGAAGGTTTTACCCAAAGTGAATCAACCTCTAATATCAATTCATAGGACGGTGCTGGGCTGGAGGGAGAGACATTTCTGAGGGGAGGGCCCTTCCCAGATACCTCTGCGCCCATCTGGGAAAGCCGAGTATGCTGTCTCTGTACTCAAGCCCTCATTTCTTAGAAATCACACCTTTTGCACAGTTATACATCTCAGCAGGCAGGCCAGGGTGCAGAGAGGAACATGCCTGGTTTCCAGTGAGTTGGGAAAATGAGGTTAGGTTTCAATTCAGATAGTTATTTGTGTTTTCTGGGTCTGCACGGTCAATAAATTTTCAACGAGCAGTGATTCTGTTCCTCATCTTTCACTGCTTTATGGGACTTCAGGGAATGAAAGCATAACATCCTGCTTTCCCATAAGTTCTCTGGCTGCTACCCTGGCACCAATTAAAGACATGTCTATGCAATTAATCAAAACCAATTTGGAGGCCCTCTGGCGCTGCCCTTCTGATGTGCTGCCTGCCCCACATACAGTAGTTCCTCAGCTGCAGTGACGGAGCCAGGCACATAGGAGCTTTTGATGAACTGGCTGTGCCGGCCCCAAGTGTTAACTGTGTCATCTGACATGACTAATGAGGCTCCCAACTTGGTCCGTGTGAGCGGAGCGGCCCAGCTGTCTGGAGGAGGCAGGGTTTCTGCAGCCAGCCTGGGAAGAGGCTGCAACGTGCAGGGTATACACTCCATCATGTCAGCTGGAGTCCGGGAGGCCTCTAGCGTTGGAGCTGGGGAGTCGTCCAGGGGGAAGGCGGTGGGCGCTGCGGGGCGAGGCTCTGCGCTGGGCACTGGTGGGAATGTGACCCAATTTAAACTTCTAGCTCAGCCCCCTCATTTTACAGACAGGGAAACCAAGACCCAGCAGAAGTGTGGGGTTTGCCAAAGGCCTGAGGCTTTGGGGGAAAAGAAATAAAGGAATAGGTGTGGTCCTTACCCTTGAGGAGCTAAACCCCTAGATCAGCAGATAAACATGCACGAGGGGGACCTGATGCCGATGCACCTTACCAAGGCTTAAGCTATGGGTTTCCTTCTGCAAATGTTTATCAGGAGGAGGAGAGCCTTCGTCCTTGTCACCTCTACAATATCAAGAGCATGGGATTTAGAGTCAACAGATCTGGGTTTGAGTCCCAGCTCAGTACTTTGAGTTGATGGATTCGTGAGCAAATTACTTTGTTTTTCTGAGCCTTGGTTTTCTTGACCGTTAACATTAGGACAAGCCAAATGCTGCCACTCAGCCTATTTCCTAGAGTCCTGGTGAGACCCAGCAGAGTTAATGGGTGTGAAAGTATAAATAAGAGTCTCTGCACATGTTAGCTATTATATATATTATTATCCCCTCTCAGGATCCCTGGCTGAAATCTCTGGAATACGGATCCACAGATAGCTTTAATTCTCTTCCTCTTCCTGCCTCTTTCAAAATGCACAGGAAAGAAATAGGTATAAAACCAACTGGTCATCTGTCTACCATCTCAACAGCTTTCCCAGAGAGTCTATGACATAGAAAGTAGAAGAACTCACCCATTGTAATTTAATGTCATTCCGCACATTGACTGAGCACCTACCATATGCCAGAGGTTGGCCACGCTCTGTGAGGAGTCAGAGTTGGATAAGACAGGTTCCTTGGCCACCTTGAGAGGCTCCCCATTTAGTGGGAGAAACAGACGTGGACATGATTAACTATAACACGCTACAGAAAAATACAATTGCCAAGGGAAAGATACAAATCAAGTACTGTGGGAGCCAGAGGAGGGAATGATTCATTCCCCAAAAGGAAATTGGGGAGTTTCATCAAGGAAGTGGTATGAAAGGATGGGCAGGGTTTAGCTCTGTCAGGAAGCATAAGCAAGGGCACTCCAGATTGAGAGAACAGCACAAGCAAATGCATGAAATTGTCAAAGGATTGGTGGTCTAGAGGTCACAGTGAAGTCAAGTGAGGTAGGGGGTGTTGAGCATGAACAAAAGAAAAATCACTGGGCCTCAGCTCTGACACCCAGTCATGGATGTTGCTATCTCCACTGCTCTTTTTGCTGGCTAGGGTCACTTTGGCCTCTGTCCCTGAATCAGAGAGAATCTCATGCTAGCCCTTCCCCCAGCAAGGCGGAACCTAACCCCCAGCCAGGAGAGCCCACTGTGAAGGAACCGGGAACCGCAACAACCATCAGAGGCAAAGAGGCTGGGGCTGGAGAGCACTGGTCACAGCCACCCTTCCCAGCTAAGGGGAAAGCTCCCCCTGGGATGTAGCAGTGACTCCAACATCTAGAGCGCGATGGCAAAGACTTGAAGCCCCTTGGTGTGGGTCACACACGAAGTTGCTCTCCTTCCCTCCTTTGTCCAGAAGAAGCCAGCTCCTTTCAGGAGTGCTCCCGGCAGAATGGCTTGGAAGGCTCGGAGCTGCAGCTGGACTTGAAGGCATGGCCGTGGACCTATCCCAGGGGCTCATATTTCCTCAGTGTCTCCTTCTTTCATTGTAAATTGGGTTTTATTGTGCAAATAATACAATGATAACAACAGAAAATTAAGAGAAAGAGGAAAGAGCACCCACTCACACGTTATCTGTTTCCATTTCTCCTTGCCCTTTCCTGCCATTGTCAGTAGTGTAATTTTTTTTTTTTTTTGGCTGCTTTCATCACTGATACAATTACATATTTTATTTTTATTGCTCAGCATTGTATCATACAGCTTTTTCCATTTTGCTACTTATTGCCAACCCCTGGTGTCTACACAGGCTTGGTCTGGTGGTCCACTCTGCTTCCAACCTTCCTCTCTTGCCCACAACAGAACTTTTCCCCTCCCCTGGGCCCAGTAGGCTTCCTGAGTTAGCCCATCTAAATTCTGACAGACACACCAAGTCGGCCTATTGCTTATTCATTGGGTGAAGGCACCATTTTTTACTTGAGCATTTTCCTTTGAGGGAAACATTGGTTGTTTCCCAATTTTTCACTATTTCCAATAATGATGCAATAAATAGCTTAATGAATATTGCTCACTTTATCCTTTATCCTTCATCCTTTAAAAAGTAGTCCCTTAGGAACAATCTCTAGGAATCAGGATCACTAGGACAGAGATTAGAATCATTTTAATGGCTTCTGATATATATTTCCAAATTACTGTTCAGACGGTTTGTGCCTTTTACTCTGCCACCAGCTCGAGGGAGAAGACCAGTTGGACTACATTATAGGCGCTTGGGCTCTTCACAAACTGTTGGTCCTGCTTTATTTCCCACTATTTTCTCCCCCAACATGCCTCCCATATTGCAGCCACATGGAATGACTCACCACCCCCCAAATTATTCTCCCCTGCTTTTGTGCCTTTGTACTTCCTATTATCCTCCATCACCCTTGCCCGAGAATATCCTTCCCTTAACATGCCTTCTCACCATAGAGCTCACCCTTTATGGAACTGGAAGCTTTTATACTATCTGCAAGACCCAGCCTAAATACCCCTTTCTCTCTGAACTAGTTTCAATTCTCCCAAGCAGAGTTAGTCACTCTTGCAATATGTGGTGCCTGGGGAGACTTTTGGCATCCAAGTGCTCACCAAGAAACAGTCCTTCTCTAACCCTAGGACAGTGCTGGGCTGGAGGGAGAGACGTTTCTGAGGGGAGGGGCCTTCCCAGATACCTCTGCGCCCATCTAGGAAAGCCAATTCTGTGTGATTCTCCTCTCACTCCCCCCTCTCACTCTTTTCACTAGCAATTACCAAGTTACGCCAATTCATCGCCTAATCATAATGTTGGATCCACTTATCTCTCATTGCCATCACCGCTGATCAGGATTCCTGCAGCAGTCTCCTAAAAAAAAAAAAAAAAAAAAAGAGTAATATGTACATGGTTCAAAAGTCAAATTTTTCTAAGGCTTATAATAAAAAACAGTAGATTCCCGTCCCATGCATCCCCACACCAAGCCCTGCACCTCACAGTCAACTAGCCAGTTTTACTTCTTCCAGCTTTTTGTATTTACTTCCATTCTCTAAATAATATACCTATACTGCTGCTTTGTGATTTTTAAGTTCAGACATTACCCACTGACTTTGAGCAATGGAAGATTTCTTTAACACCACTTCCCTGCCCCATCTTCTGATATAATTGTATCACAATTTTTGGTTAAATCATCATATGGTGCTTACATATTATGACCAGAAGTATCATTAAAAATATTTGCCCTCTGAGATGCCAGCATTCCCTCCAGGACTGTTGTCTCTCCTAGTGAGGGCAGAACCTGTTGGGGGAAGGTAGAACACTCGGGGACAGGGGCTGTGTGGGAGGTGGGGCAGGCCAGCCATTGGCTGGCAGCCTGATGTCTCTGGATGGTTCCCATGTAGGACTGGCTCCCTGGGCCTGGGGAGGTATAGCAAACAGGGTTGAGGGGAAACAAAAGGAGTGCCCAGGATGGGCTGGAGGCTACTTATTGGCACAAGCACTGACTGATCCAAAGAGATGCTGGCCTTTCCAGTAGGTTTCTGGAGCCCCTGACTCCAGGTATTGTCTCTTTAGTTGCTGGATCCTGGGAAGGTTCAGGGAATTCTAAGACAGGGAGCTAGGGCAATTGGAGCTATAGCAGTGGGGTACTCAGGGAGCTTGAGATAGTTATTATTTACTAACCAGTATAGAAAAATGTCAACTCATAAAGTCTAAAAAAGCTAATATGTCCTGTTGGTCCTGATTATGACTATGTAAATATTATTCATAGCCAAGCCATGTGGGGCTTTATGATTATATTTCCATTTTTGTTTATTTTTTCCTAGAGTTAATAATGGCCTCGTTGTTTTCATTTGCTTAGTTTCACTATACTCATTACTAAATCATCTCCCAAACTTTTTGATAGAATAATATGATGACCAAATCCATCAAGTAATTTCTTGCTTCCAGCTTTATCCCAGGCACTGTGCTAAGCACTGGGGATTCAACTGGGAATAAGACATACATGGTCCCTACTTTCACTGAGCTTATAGTCTAGCAAGGGATCAGATATAAGTAATTATACTTGTTTCTTTAAGTGTCACAATGGGAGAAGATTGGGTTCTATGGGAACACATAGCAGAAAAATGGATGGAAACTATTCATTCAGACAGCATACATTTACTGAATTTCTCTTACATGCCAGGATGTGTTCTAAATGCTGAGAGCACAGCCCGAAACAACACAGACAAGGCCCCTGCCTTTGTTGAGCTTCCATTCTACGAGACAAGACAGATAATAAACACAGAAGATAATTTTCAATAAAAAACAAGGACTATAAAATAAACAGGGTGTCTTGATGGGGAACGACTACGGCGGGACATCAGGAAGATTAAGCTATTTTAGGCCGAATGGCAAGGTCATGGAAAGTCTTTCTGAGGAGGTAACATCTGACCTGATATTTGAAGGATGAGAATAGCCAACTATGTGAAGAGTAAGGAAAGGCATGTTCCAGGCAGAGGGAACAGTATCTGCAAGATTGGAGGAGGAGCAAGAACATAAGGTTTCGGAACAGAATTGAAAGTTCCATATGGCTGGGACATACAGGGCAGGGGGAAGTTGCTAGAGATAAGAGAATGGATGTAAAGTATAGGGCGGGAGCCCTGCCACCCTTAATAATAGCAGCACTGATAAAAATCCCTTCTATGCAGTTATTTGTCGGTCTTAAGATACATTCCCACCCTCTTTGCTCTCTGGAGTATTGTAAGACATATGGACACTGCAAATTACATTTTTTTTAAGACTCTCTTGCCAGTTGGAAGGTGTTGGCAGGAGACTGAAGGGGGTGTAGAAGGAAGAAGCCATTGTTTTGTCCCGCTTTTTTATGGTGTCCCCAGCAGCAGCAGCACCAAGCACAGGCTCTTGGGTTCCTTCTCAGAGCAGCACCCCTAACAGACAGTACCTACTGTGGGCCAGCCTTTACCCAGGGTGGCAGCACCTTCGTAATCTCCTTTTTTCTCTTCTAACTCTTCTAAGCCCTTCCTTCCTTGGACTGCTCCCATGTGCCCAACATCTCTGTAAACAATTGCCTGCTTGAAATCCCTTTCTGTTTCACATAATCTAGAGTGGTACTGTCCTATGGAATGTTCTGTGATGACAGAAATGGCCTAATGTGCTGGCCAATACAGTATCTACTAACCATATACGGGTACTGAGCTCTTGGAATGTGGCTAGTGTGACTGAGGAACTGACTTTTTAATTACATTTCATTTTAATAATTTAATGTAAATAGCCACATATGGTTAATGGCTACCATACTGGACAGCACAGATCTAGGATGATTTGTTTTTCATTTCATGGGACACTAACTAATATAGTAGTTGATACGGAAAGTGGTTGTAGGAAACTGACCTTCAAAGAGGAGAACTTTGGGATTGTTATATGACCTGATTGAGTGTGAATTCAGCAATGACCTCATTGGCAGTAGAAAACAGGATACTGGGGCGCCTGGGTGGCTCAGTCGGTTAAGCATCTGCCTTTGGCTCAGGTCATGATCCCAGAGTCCTGGGATCAAGCCCTGTATAAGGCTCTCTGCTCAGCGGAGAGTCTGCTTCTCCCTCTGCCTCTGCCTGCCACTCTGCCTACTTGTGATCTCTCTCTCTCTCTCTCAAATAAATAAATAAAATCTTAAAAAAAAAAAAAAAGAAAACAGGATATTGTGTCAGGGAAGAGGCCCCACCTCATGGAAGATGGCAAGGAGTAACAGAACTCTAGGTTGGCTTGCCACACTCTGTAGGTGCTGAAGGTAAGAGAACAAGATGCAGCAGATTGGAGAAAGTTTATTTCCCAGCACTGCCAACAGCAGGGGCAACAGCATGGCTGGTCTCCTTGCCCTTGAGTCCCATGGGACAATGCAATGGGTCCAGATGGCAGCTACCCATGCAATGCCGTTGCACCATAGCTGAGGAACCCTTGGCCAAGGGCTCAGAACCTTTTATAACAAGCAGCCAATAAGCCAGTCTCCTTCCCCTGCGGAGTGAAGAGTTGTACAGTAGTCATGTTGTGATCACCTTGACCTACTTAATTGCCTTTGAGAGTAGTTACAAAAATGACTCAGGGACAGAGCATGGTTAGGTCTTACAGTTTGGCACACTCAACAAGGATGTACAGGGACATTTGGGATCCCTGGTGGACTGCCTCCTTCAATAACTAGTAATCGATGGCATGCAATGGCACAAGAGTTACTTAGAAACTACCTGTGAATTCCTGGGATGATATGCCTATGGAAAAGCAAGTTTTTGGTAGATCAAGTTGCTGCTGAAATGGACTGTTATGGACTCAGTTCTATGCAAATTTGAGAACCTAAGAGCTTCTACTATGGCTCTAAGATAATTTTTTTTATATATTATAGCTTCAGAATTAATATAATTGAAAATCACACCCAAGCTTTGATACTATGGCTGTAGATTTATAATGTTAGAATTCACAAGTTCCTAAGTTTCTTAGATGAAATTTAAGGCATGAATGGGGAGGAATGGGACCCTGGGACTTGGAATGGAAACATTTGCTTTGATGCAAACAAATAGGAGAATTTGAATATCTAAATCCTTGAGATCCAGAGAAATAGAAAAGAAGCTTATGGGTCTTTTTTCTATCTATCTAATTTCTTGGGGAAGCATGGAAGTATGATCAAGTTGTTTAGAAAAATCCTTACATACAGAAGTATGTGTGTGAGTGTGTATATGAGTGTGTGTGTGGTGAGAGAGAAAGAGAGGGATAGCAGAGAGCACACTTGTACATAAAGGCACCTATACCCCACTAAGCTCATTCAGCAGCCCTTTGTTTGAAGATGGAATATAAAAATTCAAAGGTCTTTCCAAGTCAAATGAATCTAGGGCTCCTCTGTCCTCCAAATCACTTTGACTCTATGTCCAGCCCTCCCTGTTAGTATACTAAAGGCAGGGAAGGTCCATGTGTAAACACAAAATTCCCAGTAATAAATCTGTCAGCTTTAGGAGCATTCATAGCCTCTTGCCAAGTCCAATTTCAATCTTCCTCTTGGGAGCCTACGTTTCCCTCTCCCATTTGTCCCACGCTTTTATTGTTTGTTTATTGAAATGCTCCACTTGCTGGAAGTCTCCCAAGGAAGTAGGTCATCATGCTATTTTGTTGTGATTGGGATTCTGGGGGTGCAGAGGGAGGGAGGGTGAATGATTCTGTGGTGCCATTAGGGCTCCACACAACACCAATGGCAACTTCATTGGAAATTGCAGAACTCCCCTTCATTGATAACACTTCAGTGTAGTGATAACACTTTAACACTCTACTCATCTGAAGGTAGAGTAATGAATAAATTGGGGGACCCTGCCCTCTACTCATGGTCTTATAATCTAGTGGTAAAGATAAAGTAAAAGACAGTTACAATCCAGCTGGGATAGAAATGCAATGGAAGAAATAAGTACCAAATGTTTCAAGATCATTTGAGCTGTGGGTAGGAGGTAGAGAAAGAGGAGATGTTTTCCTGAACCCCATCCTGAAGGATGAGGAGGGGTTCCTAGGCAAGGATGGGAGTGGGGCTGGTATTGATCCTGGCAGAAGAAGTAGCAAGAGCAAAAGCTTGGGGAGGACAGACAGTGTGGTCTTTCCAGGAACAGCAGGTCATTCCAAGTGACCGGTGAACAGAATTTGAAGGGAAAGTGATGAAAGATGAGGCTGCATAAGAGAGCAGGGCCACCTGTTCTGAAAGTTGTAAGTGCATGAGTGACATGGTCAGCTTTCTCTACCAGAAATGTCATTCTGGAGGGTGACCTTGGGACACAGAGACTAGTCAGGAGGCTGCTGCATTACTCCAAGAGATGTTGGGGTTCTAAAACAGGGTTGTGGTAGTAGGAAGAGAGGAGTATATAACAATTTCAGGGTTTTTTTTTTTTCCAAAGATTTTATCCATTTATTTGAGAGACAGAAAGACAGTGAGAGAAGGAACACAAGCAGGGGGAGTGGAAGAGGGAGAAGCAGGCTTCCCGCGGAGCAGGGAGCCCGATGTGGGGCTCGATCCCAGGACCCTGGATAACGACCTGGCTGAAGGCAGATGCCCAACGACTGAGCCACCCAGGCACCGCCCCCCCGCTTTTTTTTTTTCAAAGATTTTATCCATTTATTTGAGAGAGAGACAGCGAGAGTAGAAACACAAGCAGGGGAATTTCAGGATTATTTAAAAGGTAGAATTGACAGATCTTATTAACCTATTAGATACGAGGAGTGAGGGAGAGGGCAGAGTCAAGGGTGAGCTCAGGTTTACAGCCTGGCTAGCTGGATGTATTCCTAAGTGTGAACCAATGGGAGGTTCAAGCAAGTGCTTTAGGAGCTCAGAAGATAGAGAGACCACTGGGGGGAGGAATGTGGGAGGTGTGATCTGTGAGGGCCTCTGACTTCAGAGAGGAGATTAATGAGTAGATTAAGAGAGAAAGATGGGCCAGTAGAAGAGCATGGAGAGATACCTGGGTTCAAATCCCTACTCTGTCACTAACTTGCTGTGTGAATTGGACCAAGTTCTTATTCTCTGAACCTCAGTATCCTCATGTGTAAAAATTAGGATAAGCTAATTTCTACCTCTACTGGGAAAACTTAATTTGTAAAAGTGAAAGCATTTGGTAATCCTTACCAAAGCTCTATGAAACAGATAAGATATTATCATCCCTATTTTATAGGTAAGGAAAATGATATTCAAAGAGAGATAAAGAGCTTTGCCTAAGGTCACAATGCTAGTAAATGGTAAAGCTGGGATGGGAACCTGGGTCTGACAAAGCTGTGGAGATGTGAAGGAGACTATGGATGGTTCTTGCCCATCAATCTCTCATCCTAAGTTGAGTACTTGAAGGCCAACAAGTGACATCTACTTTAGGATGAGTTGTTGGTCATAGGCCATCAAATCCCTGCTGTAAGGGAGGCAGGATTGCGTCTAGTGCCCTCTAGGGGCAAGAGCACCAGGAGAGTGGGCCCTCTAGCAGGAATCCTTGTCTTACTGGGTCTCCTGAAACCAAGGAACTGTTGGGCAGGGGCAACCATTCCTAACAGATTAGGGTCTGGCAAATTGATACTCACAACCTCAACTATAGAACATTAAGTATGAACTGCTTCTAGTACTCATGCTTTTGACTTTTTCAGGCTGGGGTTAACCCTAGGAACCTCTGGTCTTTGTTGGGAGACCTCAGCCTGCTGCCCAGTACTCTGGCAATAATTATATACAGTTATAATAAACAGTCATCATTTACTAAGCACC